TTATTAAACATTGTTCTTCTCCCACTCTTCATAGCTCAATGTATTTATGGTTCTCTAATGTAGTTATCGGGGATGTACGGGGAAGAGGACTGATGCTTGGAGTGGAGCTGGTGACTGATCGCAAGCTTAAGACTCCTGCAACCGCCGAGACTCTGCACATAATGGATCAAATGAAAGGTTGGTTGGTTTTGCGTTATTTCTATTTGTGTCAGGTGAAACTCGTTCTAAAAATGTTTATATATTTGTCTTTTGTGAAAATAATTACACAGAAAATGGAGTGTTGGTTGGAAAAGGAGGCTACTTTGGAAACGTTTTCAGAATCACACCACCTCTCTGTTTCACTAAGGACGACGCAGGTTTGTGTCATTTCATGTCTTTGATATAAAAGTAATATAGAAACACAGCAATAAAACTCTCTCTCTGTGGCAGATTATCTTGTGGAAGCGATGGACTACTCAATGTCGAAGATGGGAAGAAAATAAAAGACTGAAAAACGGTTTGATAGATGGATGTTGTTATGAAAGATGGTTAGTAAGTTGCGGTGAATTATGGATTTGGATTTGTAATTATGCTTCGAACAACCAAATGATTGATGAGCCAACATCTCGTTGCTTCTCAATCACTATGTTTATCTTAATGTTGAACCTTTTCTTTCCCTTATTGCGACAAAATAAATCCAATCATTACCCACATCAGGGTATCCCTGTAAACCGGTGGCAACAAATCTCGAACGTGGGTATACGTTAGAGCATCACAAACACAATTTAGAACAGTATGAGCAAATCGAAACTGAATCGAACCTACTGAAACACCTATCAAACAAACTGAAAATTTTAGTAAGTAAAGTCAGAAAAACTGCGGTTTTTGGACATCCAGTAACATCATCATCCCTGTTTGTCCCCCTTCCTCGAGATGTCCTACGAACAATCCCGGAGAAGTCTAAGCCCGTCCGAACTGCATTACTTCTAATTCGGACCGCAATAGTGCCATTCGAACGCTAGTATGAGCAGCCAATTAGATACCTTGGAGTATTGAGTAAAAGGACACAAAGAAGTCCAATAGCTGCTGAAGCTCTCTCCCCAAACCAATAATCCATACAACTCCACAAAAGGGTACGAAAACAGAAGACAGTAAGAAAAAAAAAACCCAACTGGTCTCATCAAATCGTTTCAATATGTCATACCAAACCCTAAAAATCAAACAAAATGAGAAAGGTAAAAAAAAAAAAATGTACATTCAGTTGAACACCATATATTCACAATGGGAAAATAACGAAGCACCCAACTTTTGTTAAATCATTTTCCTCCCTCCTATCATACTTTGCTGTGCCTGAGAAGCATTATTACTGTTCGTAGACTTATTATGCTTCCCGTCTGCGCTCCCAAACACATCCAGATCTTCAAACAATCTGTATGATGGAACAAACGGCTTCTGTCCTGCAGAGACACCCGGATTGCTAGCAGGCGCAGCTGAAGGCACCTGGGGATCTCCAGCTCTTGTGGGGAATGAGTTAGATTGCTGCAGTGATCTACCAGCTAGGGCTGATGTGTCTGTGTATGACGCAGCTGCATTAGCCCTTGGTGTGTAGTATGCATTCGCCGATGTTGAAGCCCATGGCGGAGGTGGATATTCATACGGGTTCTGAGGTCTAGTTGGCTGTTGTATCTGGAACTGTTCTTGTGGCTGCGGCTGAGAATAGGCTGTT